ATTATAATCTGACTGTACAATATTTGCACAATCTTTCTTGACATTTATCAAACTATGTAATATGAAAACCTACCTAAACTGTCCACTCAATTTGGATCCAATCAGCCAACCACTGGCAGTACAAAGTTTTCAGTAAATCTAAAGTATATTGGGCAGTCAGATTGTAATGTTTGTGGTTAGCTTAAACCCAAACATCTGTAAAAACATGGCAGAGGCTTTCACAATTTTGCAGGCTATCCAAAAGTAAAAAAAAAAAGTTTTGTCTCTTATTGATGGATGTAGAATACAGAATTTGAATACCCAACTGTATATTATGAAACCATATACATTCAAACACACCTCAACCTGTTATCACACTATAAAATGCGTAAAATAACCCTGAAAGAAAGAATATTGAGGCCACCCCTATACCAAATTATATTTTCCATTTTTTACTGAAGAGAAAAAAAACTTTTGCCGTAAGTTACTCTGCCTGGAAGAATAAAATAGGTTTTATTTGCAATATTATTTGACAATATGTTTCACTAAAATACCAACACTGGAGAAACAGAAATTAATTTCCTGGGCTGATCGCTATTATTTTTCTAGATAAAACTGATCATGGTGGTTCCTGCACACTTCCTGTCCAATGCATGGCAAGACAATTTAATTCAGAATGTTCACATGTGGATTGCTTACAAAAATTATTTTGTGATATTCAGATTACACCAGCTTGGCAGACTGTTATCTTATGTTTATTGCAGCTTTGCAGAGTGATTGTGATGTGAAAGATTGCTGTCCTTTGCTCCTATTGAGATTTTGAACCACACATTTCCCCTTAGTATGCTACAGCTATTCATCTATATGGTGTTAGTGCTGCTTTGTGGCCTCTTGTAGATGGGTACATGGTCATATAAATTTATGCTCCAAATATGCTCAATTTCTTTCTGCCAGAACTTGGCAGAAAAAATGCCTCTAAACTTGTGTATGTACGTGTGTTTATGCATGTATGTAGGCACATTTATGCGCATATTGTGTTGATGGGTAATGCATTCTATAATTTATTCTTTCCATTGGAATACATTTACATGCATATGTATACATTTATACGCATTTTTACATTATGCTCTTCTCAGAACGCCCTTTGGTGCATTTTTTTTTCTGCCTGTAAACGCTCCTCTTCAAATATGCCTGTAAAACACCCATGTTTTCATGGCCAAATAGGCTAATTTAGCATTTACAGGGTTAAGAAAAAAAAAAAAGCTGAATGCCTGTATAAGTGGCGTTTTTTAGGCCTTGTGTGCATGCACAAACCCTGTACCATCATTTTCTACACTGACAGGATTAAACTAAATGATTGACTGGTAAAAGGCTGATTTTGGAGAACAATTTTTTTATGCTAGGACAACACTGTATTTTAAAGTGAACCTATAGTGATACCAAAACTGCCTCACACATACACTGAAGGCACCCTTCAGGTACAAGAATGTCTGGCTACATCTTCTACAGGATGCCCCATTAACCTTTAAATACTGGGGTCCTCTGAGATGCAAACATTTGCCCAGCTCCCAAGGTTGACAGTTCTGCCTGCTGTCTTCTTCCACCTACCAAGCACCTTTTTTTTATCATAGTGATGGGTAGTCTGTTTAACTAATAGTGAGGCTTAGAGGTCTGCAGTGGTTAGACAGTGCTGGCTGCATGTTAAAGCACCCCTGAATCTGGATGCATGTAGCACTTTGTGGTGATACCAAAAACTGCCTCCTACTGTATACTGAAGGCACCGTTCGGGTACCAGAATATCTGGTCACATCTTCTGCACAGTGCCCCATTGGCCTCAAATACTGGGGTGCTCTGATAACCAAAAACATGGCCAACTACCATGGTCAACAGCTTTACCTACCTTTTCCCACCTACCAAGCATTGCTATTGGCCCATCTGGGTAGACTTACTAATCAAAAGTGAGAAGGCTGGAGCAGTTGTACAGTGTTGGCTGCATCTCAAAGCACTCCTGTACCTGGACTCGTGTTGCAGAAAAATTGTTGAACAGTCAGGCACCTATAGGTGACCTCTGTACACAGTATACAGTACACAGTAAGTGGTGGTTTTGTAGGTTAGGGTTTGTCACAGGTTTGCTTTGAATTGCAATATATATTTATCTAGACCAGCCTTTCTCAACAATTTCAAAACAAAGGAACCCTTGAAATAACTTGGTCTCAGGGAACCCCTGCTAACAATTACTATATCTACAACTCATGATACATTGGTGTGATGATAAGTGGGAAAATGCTCCTTACACTTGTGGACATTGGGAAGAATTACCCTCTTACAGATAGCTGAAAAAAGATCAATGGTGTCAGTGGGAACTTGTCTGAGAGGCAGAAATTGCTCATTGCTTATGGAACTCCTAGAAACCTCTGAAAGAACCTTAGTTAAGAAACCCTGATCTAGACCATGGCAACCATTGATATTATGCTTCATACTTAGCAAGTCCTTCCTGATGACAGTTCTTACAGTTTTATAGCAATACTGAAGAAAACAAGTTGGATGGCTTTGCTTGGCACTTGGCCTTTGAGTAATCCCTAAATGTAAGACAATGTTGTGTACGAGGGCACAGGGTAAAGAAAACATGCCATAGTATATCTTTGTGGATAGAAATAAAATCTCCTAAATCACACACAATTTCATCTAAATATTAAACATTATAGTCCATTCAAAACGTGTTTCCATGTTGATTTACAGACAGTTTATCAGATCTTTCATACAATGCTGTGTAGGGTGCATTGGGCATAGCTAATATGTTTAAAATAATTATATGCTACATAGATTAGAACCTCACATTGCTTGTGTAATAAACATTCAAAATAGTAATGATTTACACTAATTATATTGCATAGATACAAGTTATTTCTAGTGTAACAGCAATGAGGTGAAATACTTATATGCAATTGGTTTGTTTTAAGGTGGATCGCTGCATACATGAGCCTAATAAATTCTGCACCATGTTGACTAAGCGGTTAATACCTTGCTTTGCATTGTTATGGTCCTGAGTTTAACTGCCCTTTGAGACACTAATGAAATATGCATGTTGTTCATGTCTTTGTATAGGTACCCTTTTCCTATCACATATCAAAGATGTACTGGTATGTTAACTGACATCTGGCACAAGTGGTCCTTGTCTGAATTCCTGCTCTATCATGGCCAACTCAAGCTCAATATGAGGAAGAAGGAGGGCTAGGTGCAGAGTTAGATCCATTATTTAAGTCAACAATCACTTAAGAAAGTGAGAAAGGGCTACCTGATGGAGCATGAAATCATATCAATAGCTTGCACCGATTCTTGTTTAAAAAAACAAAATACTTGTCACTGGGAAAACCCATGAAGCCAAGAAAGGACAAAGGGTAGCTCCTCAGCCAAAAACTAAACATTTCTGGTTGCACATTTAGAGGTGACTAGAGCACAGTTGAATATATATATATATATATATATCCCATATTATATATATAATATAGCTTTTGTTATTAAATAGCTTTTTACGTTTCTGGCTCTTGTTCAGATATTAGCAGACATGATAATCCAGCGTCTCTCAACCTTTTTAACATGGAGGAATCCTTGAAATAGCTTCCTAGTCTCCGGAAACGTAAGCAAATACATACTATATCTACCACTCACTGTACATAGGTGTGGTGGTTAGTGGGAAGCATGTTCCTTACATTTGTAGTCAGTAGGAAGGATCCCCCTCTTACAGATAGCTAAAACAATCATTGGTGTCAGTGGAAACATGATTGGCAGACTTTGCTCCTTTAAAGAACCCTGTTTAAGAAAGCCTGGGGCTGAAGTTAATACAACTGAAAATAAATATATTTTTGTGTGAAGAACAAAAACATGGTAACACTTCTGGAACATGGTATTTTTATTTCCCACTGTCTTTTTGTTCTGCCAGCAATGTGCAGCTAATAAAGTGTTACTTAATCTCCGTGCTTTGTAATTAGTGGGAATCCTCCTGGATTTATTTTCTGCTCAGGAAGGAACATTGGAAAATGGCTCTAAACAGGCACAACATGTGGTAGAAACTGCTGCACAAGCAGGTTTGTTTCATAACATCATCTAAACTCAAGATCTTAAGTTCAGCATTTCCGCAAGATATTAATGTGTGTTTAATGTAACCTCAGTAGGAGGATATGCATTTTCCTGTATGTATGGAGTAGAATCTGTGTAGTCTTATGCTCCAGGAAAACTTTGACTTTTGAAAACATTTTTAATTACTGGCCACAATGATTTGTATAGCATATTAGTATATAAATTTATCATAAAGCTATTCATAGAGTTTTAGAAACTCAACAATGTCAAATACCTAGAATATATATATATATATATATAATATATATATGTATATATATATATATATATATATATATAATATATATATATATATATATATAGTCCATGCTTATCTAGTAATGTTTTCCTCTCTCTATATATAATAGCAATATATACTGTATGATCATGTGCTTTAATGAACTTTATAGAATCAACATACAATGAAAATGGCTGGTCTTACCTTGCATCATCCAAACATATTGTTAGAATGTAGAAACAACACCATTGAGTACTGCTTGGACCTTAGAAGAAGGGAATATACCCAAAAGTGTGTCCTGAAAATTTAAGTGTTAGTGCAAACAAAAAAAAAGTCAGTACTCAAATGTGTTGTTGTAAGCACACCTTAGACTACAAACACCTTAACGTAGAAAAAGAAACTTTATACGACCGTTATTTATACACACCTTTTATTATGCCCTATCCATTCAAACATGTTGTTATAAAGTTTTTGAGCAACATGTAGATAAGTATTCTGCTTATTCAAATAATAGCATTTCAATTTTTTTTTTCTGAGTGCCAATTTCTTTTTTTGGAAATTCAGCATTTCATTTTACTAAGTGTCATTAAGTGTATATAATAAACAGGACTGACTATTCAATAATCCTGTAACTTGACTCAACAATAAACCATTGTTGTCAGAATGTGTGACATGTCTATTGTTGCAATCTCCTTGTCAAGTGTCAAGCCAGTCCTTTTATGTCACTTTCTCCTACTTGACACAGTGGCTTTGTAATAGATTAAGCAGTCTTTCCATCTTTTCCCTTGTCTGACACTGATCCTTAAATACAATAATAGCTTGCATTTCAATAGGTCTGCATGTGTCTATTATTAAGATTCCACTCACCAATTGCCCACTGATTCCCTGCTCTCTGAAGCACATTGATTTTGCCTAGTTTGCCAGTTTCCTCCGTGTACTCCACGCAAACAGAGAGCGAGATGAAGGAGAAGAGCAGCAGGTTAGCCAGGAACCCAATGGGCAGGATTCTGATGGCAGGAACCGCAGTCATGTCTGTGCTGTGTGCTCTGTAGAGATGTGTGAGTCTGAGGGATGCCTTTGTTGATCTCTCCTCTCTGCCCTCATTCACTTTATATAGTAGGTGCTCAGGGAGGGGGGCAGCATCCTTGTGATGACTTATACACGCGTTTGCTTACTCTGCAGGGCTTAACCCTACATCATCCACAGTGATTGTTTTTTAAAAATGCACAGGTGTATGGGAAATGTTTAATATGCATGACAGAGCTGGGATGTCATGCTACAGGTGCAGCTGCTGAACTCCAGAGTAGACATCCAAGGCAGTAATTGTAACCCTTGCACTTCTGTCATTGCCAGAATAAATATCTACAGTAAGTGAAATCTCCAAACTAGTGAATTTGTACCATAACGATATGTACCATAATGATTATTTTCAGCTATGTGGTTTTTTTTTAGCTCCCATTGCTGAAAGCAGCACTTGTTATGGCAAATGATAACTGAGCCTTATACTGTATACTGAGATACAGTTTCTTGAAAAAAAAAAATAAAGATTATGAATTTTCGGTAGCAGTAATGGTGACATAAGAGACATTTACTTGTGTCCAGATTTGTGCAACAGGCAATATTATGATGGGGTTAAAAATCAGTTGAATCAATATGTATTTGCATTTTTATTTAATGGTAGGGAGTGGATGTTTAAATAAACACAGCAAGCAGACAGCTCACAAGTCCATGGGTGGGAAAGCTCCAGCTGGGCACCAAAACCACCTGCAAGAGCGCCCCAGCCACCAGAAGAGTCCAGAAGCCTCACCTCTACAGGCCTGGCACTGCAGCTCGCCGAGAGATATGATGCTACCAGAAATCCACCGAGCTGCTCATTTGCAAGTTGCCCTTCCAACACCTTGCCCAGGACTTCAAGACCAACCTGTGATTCCAGAGCTCCGCCATCATGGCTCTGCAGGAAGCCTCTAAAGCTTATCTTGTCGGACACCAACTTCTGTGCCATCCACACCAAGAGGGTCACCATCATGCCCAAAGACATACAGCTGGCATGCAGGATCTGAGGAGAGAGGGCATAGATAGATCAACACCATCCATTATGCCCGCCTTTACACACACATGAACTTTAATGGTATCCCAGTCTTAGTCCGTAGGGTTCAATATTAAGTTGGCCCACCCTTTCCAGCTATGACATCTTCAACTCTTCTGGGAAGGCTGTCCACAAGGTTTAGGAGTGTGACTATGGGAATGTTTGACCATTCTTCCAGAAACGCATTTGTGAGGTCAGGCACTGATGTGGGATGAGAATGCCTGGCTCGCAGTCTCCGCTCTAATTCATCCAAAAGGTGTTCTATCGGGTTGACTCCATGCAGGCCAGTCAAATTCCTCCTCCCCAAACTTGCTCATCCATGTCTTTATGGACCTTGCTTTATGTACTGGTGCACAGTTATGTTGGAAAAAGAAGAGGCCATCCCCAAAGTGTTCCCACAAAGTTGGAAACATGAACTTGTCCAAAATGTCTTGGTGTGTTGACATCTTAGGAGTTTCCTTCACTGGAACTAAGGGGCCAAGCCCAACCTGTGAAAAACAACCCCATATCATAATCCACCCTCCACCAGACTTTACACTTTGAACAATGCAGTCAGGCAAATACTGTTCTCCTGGCAACCACCAAACCCAGACATGTCCATCAGATTGCCAGACACAGAAGTGTAATTCATCACTCCAGAGAACATGTCTTTACTGCTCTAGAGTCTAGTAGCGGCGTACTTTACAGCACTGCATCCGACGCTTTGCATTGCACTTGGTGATGTAAGGCTTGGATGCAGTTGCTCGGCCATGGAAACCCATTCCATGAAGCTCTCTATGCACTGTTGTTGTGCTAATCTGAAGGCCACACAAAGTTTGGAGGTCTTTAGCTATTGACTTTGCAGACAGTTGGTGACTTCTGCACACTGTGCGCCTCAGCATGCGCTGACCCCGCTCTTTTATTTTACATTGCTGTTGTTCCCAGTTGCTTCCACTTTGTTATAATACCACTAACAGTTGACCATGGAATATTTAGTAGCAAGGGAATTTCACGGATGGACTTAATGCACAGGTGGTTACCACGCTTGAATTCACTGATCTCCTGAGAGCAACCCATTATTTCACAAATGTTTGTAGAAGCAGTCTGCATGTCTAGGCGCTTGATGTTACACCATGGCGGTGATTGGAACACCTGAATCCAATGATTTAGAGGGGTGTCCCAATACTTTTGACAATACAGTGTAGTTCTGTTTTCTTTTACACAGAAGATGAATGTGGCTAAAATATAAATCATGTAAAAGAGTTATGGCTAAAGCTTTCCACTCTGACCAGCAGGGGAGCAGATCCCCTGCTGATCAGAGCCAAACAGGACAGATGTCACATCTGTGCCCATTCAGTTTCTGCCCGGCAGACTCCTGTCAGCTCTATGGAAGGTATAAATGGACTTCACTGCCTGTTTACATCAGGTTACCTCTGATCAAGTCCACAAAACCAGAAAAGGATGCAGTCCTTCTCTGATTTGTTTTTTGACAGACGTAGGTGGACCCAGAGGTAGGCGGGTGTAAATGGACACAAGTACATCTGTGCTTTGTCCCATTCAGGGCAAAGAAACTGGTTTGCTTTAATCCTGCCATCCCTAGCTACATATTTACCTTTCTTTTACCTCCTGCTGCTCCATTCAACACAGGAAACTGAAGGAGATGCCCAGGACTTCCTGGAGGAGCATGTGGCAGTGCTGGCCCAATTCGTATTATCACACTGTGAGTCCATAGTCCTGTATAAGCTACAACTCCAGAAACTCATAGCTTACACAGATCCTTCCAATCACTCTCCATACAGTGAATTATATGCCTCACAACCCATTTCAGAACAAAAAAATATAATGTCATATATTGCAGCCAAACCTACTAGTCTTTAGATGTGGTGACTGAATTCATTTTTTTCAGGATTTATGTTCTTTTATTTTGACCTGAAGATCCTACCAGTAACACACTTCCTGTCCTAGAGTGCCTGGCAGGACTTTTAAGGGGAACCCCACCTCCCAAAAATGGGAGGGGGAAGCAAGGGGCCCCCCTAAATTCCTACCAGACCCTTGATCCGAGCACAGGCCTGGCAGGACAGGAACGGGGCCGTATGAGCCCCCCCCCCGCAGCTTACCAGGTCACGTCCCCCTCGGCATCGGGGATGCTCATGGGGACAAGTGTGTTTTCTGGGCAGGGGACCTCATTAGCGTCAGGTAACCCTTTAAATAAGGGGGCACCCTGATGCTGCCCCCCTTGTGAATGAGTTTGTGGTACTTGTATCCCTAACCATTCTGCTTTGTAGCTTCCTTGTCACCTCCTCCCATGTTCACCTCCAGGACCTCTCCCTATCCTTTCCTATCCTATGGAACACCCTACCACCACATTCTGTTAGACTATCTCCTACTCTGTCCACTTTTAGTCAATCCTTGAAAACCCTTATCTACAGAGAAGCCTATCCCACCTCCACCTAACAACTGTATCTCAACTTTTTCCATCAGCTCATCCCCCAAAGTTATTACCTTTTGTATCACTTGATCCTCCCTTTTAGATTGTAATCTCTAACAAGCAGTGCTCCCTGATTCTTCCTGTATTGAATTGTATTGTAACTGTACTGTATGCCTTCATGTTGTAAAGCGCTGCACAAACTGTTGGCGCTATATAGATCCTGTGTAATAATAATAATAATAATTTGCTGTTTAGGCACCCAGCACTGTTGTATGGAGGAAAGAGAATACTTAGCTTTAACTTGCAGATTACAAGGCTTATAATTGTTCCCATGGATGAGCAGAGTTCAGAAAAATAAAGCAGAAATTCTACAACAAATAAGGTTAAGTATTTGATACAGCTCTGACTTTTATCCAGTTTGGGAGAGCAGCAAAGCTCTACATGTGTTTCAGAAACTAACTGCGAAGGACTTAATATAATTGGCTAATGAAAATCAGTCCATCTGTGAAACATAGCAACTTAAAGTGGTTCTAAAGCCTAAACATTTGCATTCCCTGCATTAAGGTAAAACATATTTAGGTAGTAGTATGCCCCCTCAACCTCCCCTTATACCTACCTGAGTCCTCACTGAATTCAGTGCTGTACCGCTCTGTAGCGGCTTTACCCCATTCTCACAGGCTTTGCTGTGGCAGTGGGAGCCATTGGTTCCTGCTGCTCTCAGACAAATCCCGTGAGGAGGAAGCAGGGTGTGGGGGCAAGCTGCATTGTTGTTGTCTATGGATGCAGGCAGTGCAGCTTGGGATCAAATCCGTAGGTGTGCCACATTAAGAAGCATGGGGAAAAATTGGCTTCAGCCTATATTACTCCCAATTTCCACTGCTTGCCCATGATACAAAAAAGGAGTAACAAAATAGTTGGGAGACCTATTGTCACAAGTATACTTTCGCTAAATGAAAGTTTAGGTGATTTGATAAATATTTGCAGCCCTTTGTGACCAGGTTGCACACACACTATACGGAAGATGGAGGAATACTAATGGCAACAGGTCACTGGTGGCTGATGTGTGATGTATCTTTATTATATTCTTCAATGCTCCGTAAAACAGGATTTTTTTGTTACTTGCCATAAAATCCTTTTCGCTGAGTTCATTGATGAACACAGCTCTTTTGAATCTTGCCCATATTGTAGTGATCCATTTAGAAACGTACAGTGGATATCTTAGTAGGCTCCAAGAGTTTTTCATTGAAGGAGTAAGATGCATGTTGACAAATTTCTCCTTGATGGGCAATATTATTTACAAAAATGTGGTGCTTTGATAGGTGCAAAATTTGTGCCCATGTATGACAACCTTTATGAGGGTTGGTAGGAGGAGTGCCACATTTTTGTACATAGCAGCTCTTTTTTAGGTGGCATATACAGTGGGGCAAAAAAGTATTTAGTCAGTCACCAATTGTGCACGTTCTCCAACTTAAAAAGATGAGAGAGGCCTGTAATTGGCATTATAGGTAGACCTCAACTATGAGAGACAAAATCAGAAAAAAAAATCCAGACTATCACATTGGCTGATTTGGAAAGAATTTATTTGCAAATTATGGTGGAAAATAAGTATTTGGTCACCTACAAACAAGCAAGATTTCTGGCTCTCACAGACCTGTACCTTCTTCTTTAAGAGGCTCCTCTGTCCTGCACTCATTACCTGTATCAATGGCACCTGTTTGAACTTGTTATCAGTATAAAAGACACCTGTCCACAACCTCAAACAGTCACACTCCAAACTCCACTATGGTGAAGACCAAAGAGCTGTCGAAGGACACCAGAAACAAAATTGTAGACCTGCACCAGGCTGGGAAGACTGAATCCGCAACAGGCAAGCAGCTTGGTGTGAACAAATCAACTGTGGGAGCAATAATTAGAAAATGGAAGACATACAAGACCAGTGATAAACTCCCTCGATCTGGGGCTCCACGCAAGATCTCACCCCGTGGGGTCAAAATGATCACAAGAACGGTGAGCAAAAATCCCAGGACCTCATGGGGGGACCTAGTGAATGACCTGCAGAGAGCTGGGACCAATGTAACAAAGGCTACCGTCAGTAACACACTACGACGCCAAGGACTCAGATCCTGCAGTGCCTGACGTGTCCCCCTGTTTAAGCCAGTACATGTCCGGGCCCATCTGAAGTTTGCTAGAGAGCATTTGGATGATCCAGAAAAGGATTGGGAGAATGTCATATGGTCAGATGAAACCAAAATAGAACTGTTTGGTAGAAACACAACTCGTCGTGTTTGGAGAGAGAATGCTGAGTTGTATCCAAAGAACACGATACCTACTGTAAAGATGGGGGTGGCAACATCATGCTTTGGGGCTGTTTCTCCACAAAGGGACCAGGACGACTGATCCATGTACAGGACAGAATGAATGGGGCCATGTATCGTGAGATTTTGAGTGCAAACCTCCTTCCATCAGCAAGGGCAT